CTCCTCTCTCTCCACTTCTCCTTTCCTCTCCTCTCCTTTCCTCTCCCTCTCCTTTTCCTCTCCCTCTCCTTTTCCTCTCCCTCTCCCTTCTCCTCTCCCTCTCCCTTCTCCTCTCCCTCTTCTTCCTCTCTGTCGTCCGCTGAGACTCATCCGTCGCTTCAAGTCTTTCTTCCAAGAGGATTACATCAACGCCTATCTCTACTGGCTGGTCAGCTACCAAGAACTCGCCCCCTTCCTCCCTCCCGCCCTCCCGCCTATGTTTCCCCCTGCCTCCCCCTCCTGCCTCCTTTCCTTCTGCACCCCTCCTGCCTGCCTCCTGCCTCCTGCCTCCTGCCTGTCCCCCTTCTCCCTACTGCTCGTTTTACTCCCCGTCTTCAGGGATTCTTCATGGTCAAACTACCGCGCAAGTACTGCAACCATCTTGACATCAACTCGATCTCCAGGTCAGCTACCTTCGCCCATCCTGCTCATGCCCTCTATTCTTTCCTTGACTTTCCTCCCCTCCCCTCTCCCTTCTTTTCTTTCCTCTCGTCTCGCTGATCTGTTCCGATCTTCTCTGCTCTGCCCTGCCTTGCCCCCTCTTCCCTCCACTCCTCCTCCTCCTCCTCCTCCTCCTCCTCCTCCTCACGTGTTCTGTCAGGCACATGGAGTATCACCAAGAGCACGAGAAGTACAAGTGACAAGTCTCATTCCTCCCTTCATTCTCTCTCAGTCCGCACAAGTTGCAACTCGTTCCTCGCAATCAGATTCCCGTCCGCGTCTTCGATCCTGGCCTTCACCAACCTGTACCCATCTCAACCACCAGCACCCATCTCAACCACCAACACAAACACCAGCTCTCTCACCAGCTCTCCTCTGACAAAACCCCCTTGATCTCCGTCTTCGTCCTCCCCTCCTTGCTTGTGCTCGTACACTCCTCGTATGCCACGTTGACCTCGAACTCGTCCTTGTCTGCACGCAATCGTCATCGAAGATCCTCCGCTGCTACATCACTACCTCCCTCCCTCCTCACAAACACAACATCGCTGCCAGGAGAGTAGACAAGCTCTGAGCGCGGTTCCAGCCCCTCTATCATCTTCACACTCTCCTCCGTCGACATCTCCCTTGCCATCTCCTGCACGTCCTTGATGTCATAGTGCTTCGCAACGAACCTCCTCCCTTCCTCCTCCTCCTCTATCACAGCTATCCGAATCCTGTACACCCATCCTCGCCCTCTGTCCGTCTGCTCCTTCACGAAGAAGCATGCTTTCCCAAGTGCAGGGAGGGAAACCCGTGCATGTAGCTTGATGGATCGCAGGGTACCCTGCCTCCCTACTTCCTCCCCTTCGAACTCTCCTGCATAGAGCCGCAAGAAATCGTCGCTGCTCGCCTGCATCGTCCTCTCCTGCACCATCACCAGCATCCTCTGCACTCTTCGTCGGACCTCCTGCCAGCTTCTTGCAAGGCCTTTCAAGCTGCTCCCGATGAAAAACGAGCCCGATTGATGGCATGTCCCGCCATCGTATCCTCGTCTTGCCACGTTTGCGGCGATCGCTCCTCCTCCTTTCTTCACCCGTTCCTCTTCAGCATGCCCGTATGGTCTACGATAGTTTGTGACGTGGGTTGCGGGGGTGAGAGATGCCGTGGGGATGGACGCAGAAACAGAGTTCCTCGTCGTCCTCGTCCGCATTGTCATTGTGAAGATCGCTGGACTCGTCGTCACCTGCCATGCCGCCGCCTCCATCGCCATCGCCATCGCCATCGCCATCGCCATCACTGTCATCGCCATGTTCATTGCGAGCACAGCACTCTGAGGCGAAGGGCGAGCTGAGGTGTGATCCGAGGCGGGCCAGGCGAGATATCCCTAGAGCTGGTCGAGCTTGAAAACGTTTTCACGACTTGTTAGCGAATCAGAGGCTCGGAGGGTGGAACATCGTGATGAGCCTGAAGTGTCTTCCTCCTCTCGGCCTCTTCTCCTTCCTTACAGTGTGTTTGATGGGATCACAGGATTGACGGGAAGGAGACACACAGATCAAGAGATGTTTTCGTAGAGGTTCACAGGGTTTTCATTAGATTCACAGGACCAGTAGCGCGAGGTCATGCATGCCTGCGATCAGCTCGCTGGTCACGTCCCCGTTGGTGGGGAACCTCTCGTGCTTTGTGTGGAGGAGATGGAAGCCCCGCTCAAGGAAGAGGAAGGCGAAGAAGACGTTCAGGAGGGGATGCAGCTGGCTTGTGAGGAAGCAAGCAGCTTCGAAAGAGATTTCTCTGCCTGCCGCCCCCAAGATAATGCCTCCTGCTCCTGCTCCTGCTCCTGCTCCTGCTCCTCCCTGGGACCTCTCCTTGAGCTTTTCGGCATGGAGCTTCTTGAGCCTTCCACAGGCTCCATGAACTCCGCAGCCATTGCCGAGGTTCTCGAGGAGCAGGATGACCTGGGGAGAGCGATCCAGCTGCTGCTGCCCCTGTAGACGAGACGAGAACTGAGACGAGAAGCCTTCCTCCACCCTCTTGACTGCCTCTTCCACCACCAGCAGGTTGAATGAGTCTCCACCTCCTTCCCTGGCCCGCACTGACCCATGCACTGCATCGAAGGAGGCGGCGAGGGCTTCCAGCACTTGCTGCCCTGTGAGGACGACGACGAACAAGGAGGAGGAGGAGGAGGAGGTCAGGAAGGAGGGAGAGAGCCGTCTGGTCGTGATCTCACACCAAGGGAACATGTTGTCTTGAGCGTCCGCCAGAGTGAGATTGACGTCCATCCCTAGGAAGAGAGCTCCTGCCTCTACCTTGTGCTGCTCCAGCATCTCCTTCATCCTCTCGCACATGCTCACAGCCACATACCGCCGTGTAGCGCACTGCACTCCCCTGTCTGCCTCTGCTCCTGTCTCTTTCCTCTCCTCTTCCCCCAGACCTTCTCGCATCATTGACCTCCAAATCCTCTGATTGTCCTCTCGCAGATCGGCTGCCTTGAGCGAGTCCTTCGTCGCCATGCTGTTGCAGGCAGCAGAAGATAGGTCAGCGAGCAGCTCCTGCTGCTGATGCCTGCCCTTGCATGCCCGATACCCCCCCATGAGCGCCTCCTCACTTCCGAAGCGACGAAGCACACGAGTTGTCATCTCGGGCGAGACTTGGTTCACTTGCAGCCTCTTGGCAAGCTGCTCCTCACTTGCTCTCCGCGACCTTGAGCTCCACTGCTGCTGAAGGTGCGACAGCCTTTGGCCTCTTCCAAGTCCTCCACTCCTATGCCATTTCCAGGTGTACACCTTGCTCAGAGCTGCGAGGAGCATGGCGGAGTCGATGGCGTTGAAGGTCTGAGCGAGCACCACGGAATTCTTGTCGTAGTTTCGACAGACGACGCCGCACAAGAACCGCAGCAAGTCCTCCCTCCTCCAGATCACGTCCCTCCTCCTCCTCTCCTCCTCCTCCCTCCCCGGAAGCACCCGTGGCTTCGATCGATCCGCGGCATCCAGCTCTCCTTCAAGAAGAAAGCAGCTGAACGGGCAGCCTGCAACCCTCATGACCCTCTCCTGCCTGAAGTGAGGACCCTCCTCCTTCTCTGCTGATCGGCTCACAATATCGTCCACCGTCTTCCTCTCGATGACAATCTGGCAGCTCTTCCCTCCCACATCTGGCCATTTCTGCTTCTCCTGTCCCCGCTCCTCCTCGTCCTCGTCCTCGACTTCCTCTTCGTCGGCCTTTCTCATCTCCCCTCGCTCCTGATCGTCATGCCGTGAAACCAGAGCGAAATCCCCAACGGTCAGAGTCACTTCCTCGCTTTCCACATTCGCATGCTTCAACACCATGTCGTGGATGCTGCGGAAGAAGGAGCGGTAAGTTGCGTTCTGCTTTCTCTCGCGTCGATCCACCAACAGCAGCAGATTCGAATCCGGGAGGGAGGACACCAGCCCGCCAGAGTGTGCGGGGAAAGCAGACGAGGAGGCGGCACTTTCAGAATCAGCAGAAGCACCAGGGAGGGCGGAAAAGGATGAGGGAGGGGAGGAGGGGGAGGAGGTAGTTGCGGCGACACAGGCTGAGGTGAGGGAGAACGAATTTTCCTGCTGCTCCTCTGTGAGGTCGACGAAGCTTTCAGAGTCACTGATGGACACGTGGGTCGCGTCCCCCGCGCTCTTCTCTGATGCTCGGAAGGAAACTTCTTCAGTGAGATCGATCACGTCCTCCATTGCTGCACTGCATCCTGCCCCCGCTGCCGCGCTGACCTCATGCTGAGCAAGAACAGTTGCTGTACCCTCCTCTTGTTCTGTGCCTGCTCCAAACTTCAACCTCTTAGCTGCTGGCTCACGAGGAGAAGCTCTTGGAGAAGGAGAGAGTTCTGCAACAATCACGTCATCCTCATCGGAGACGCAATCATGGATGCTCAACGGTCTCTTGCGGCTCGTACAAATCGCACTGGCGCCCTTTTCGCTCCTACCCATCAGGGACTGCGAATGTCTCTGTTCACTAGCACAACTTCCCCTCGTAGCACTTGCTGCTGTAGTGTTATCTCTCAACTTTGAGGAGGAGGGAAGGTCGAATCTCTTCAGGCGAGCTCGGATCATTTCATCCTTCTGCACCCCGGAACTTGGACTCCCTATATCCCTCATCCTCCCTGAGTCAAAATTTTCCTCCTCACCCCTGAACACATGAGGAGATATCAATGAGAGGCTTGTTCGAAAGATATCTTCAGCTTCGAACGAGTCTTCCGAGACAACTTTGTCTGCATCATGGAAGCTATCAACGATACCCAGGTGCGACGTAGGAGCACTCTGCCACAAGCACTTACAACTCTTTGAGCGCCATCGCAAGTTTCTCTCACCTTCTTCTTGCTGGAGGAATGCACAGCTTTCGCCTGCTTCCCCCGTGCCCTCTTGCCCTCGTCCGCCACAAAGTTTCCGTCACGATCTGCGAAGCCGTTGCGAGGCTCAATGAGTGCATATTGGTCGAAAATCTTGGGATGGAACATCTCTGTGAAGATGTAGAAGCAAACTCTGGCTCCCAGCCTCGTCAGCGCGTATGACTTCCCTCCGTTGCCAATCCCAACAAACTCCTTCACCATCTTCTTCTTCACAAGATCGTCCTTGGCCTTCCATGCGCCATGGGCCCTCGACCTCCAGTCGTACTCCATGGGGTTGTCGGTATGCTTCTGAGCTCTTCGCTGCACCACTATCGTTGGCTGAGGATTCTCCTCAGGTCCCTCGTACTCCAACCAAAGAGCCGCGAGGATGGCGTAGGCCGAGTCTCGGTATCGTCGTCGTCGCACCACGGAATCCTCGGAGATATCGGTCTCTGTGCAGTCTCGATGCTCCCGCAGGACTACCTCCTCATCTCCCTTGACTATCCTCGTGAGCACTTGCACGACAGTTGGAGCAAGTTTGGGAGGGAGGCCTACAACCACACCTGCATTCTGCCCTCCTTTCTGCACACATATCCTTTTCCTCGATCCCTCCAAAAGGTTCACCGCATCCCTCCAACAGTTCTGATTCCTGTGATTCATACGGACAGCATACCTGTATCTTGCCTGAGCAGCTTCAATCAGTTGCTCGTGCCAGTCTTCTTTGTTGCTCTGCCTCGACATCGCCAAGCGCGACGACCGCCTTGTGAAAATTGAACTGCTAAAACAAATGTCAACTCTGAACGTTATGAAGTTCCCTTCCAAATTATTCGTTGCAAAACGATTGTGCAAGCAAGACTCGTCAATGCTGTTCTTGTTCGATACAACCTTCCCCATCTCTTCTCTTTCACTTCTTTCCTCCTCTCCCTCTTCTCCTGCCCCCCACTTTCTTCCCGCCTTTGCCCATTCTACGGAAGTCTGATTTCCACGAACTACCTACCCATTATATTTATACTCCCACCCCACCATCGGGTCAACTGGCGATTAGTTAAGTGCCTATAACCCCCTTCACGCCTCATTTTTGTGGGGAAATGAGGGTACTTGAGGGGTACCCACCCCTCCAGAAAAATAGATTGTTGTTGACCCGACCCCCACCACCTTCTCTCCCTTCACCCTCCTTCTAAGGTTATGAGCCTCACAACGGTGCCTCTGGCCGGGGCGGGCCCAATGTAATGAAGGGCCGGTGACCGGGTGCGGCCCGGGCCACGTCACTGAGAATGGGCATGTTGGGGATGTGGACCGGATCCTGATCAACATGGCGAAGGCTTTGTTGCTAGCGCTCGCAATGGGGATGATGGCTGAGAATGTGGGAGGCTTCGCCTTGAGCGCTTCATGGGTATGCCACACAGAGCTTGTTGCTCCAGGTGGACTGACTGCTTGCTTCCTCTCAACCCATTCGCTCTCTACTTATCTTGCCTTGCCCCTCGCCTTCGTGCCTCCCTTGTTTACAGGTAAAACCGCGGGCCGCGCACCGAGTGAAATGCCCGTCATCCACAGCAGTCTCCCTGCGCAATCCAAGGCCCATGAGAGCTTGCAGCGGACTGAAGATGACGGGCGTTGACCCGAACGACGCAAGAATCAAGAAGTTCTCTCAGATCCTGACCTCCATCGGGATGTATCCTGAGGACTCAGTCGCCATGTTCGATTACGACAGCAGCGAAGCCTCCATCCTTTTGGGCTATGCTGTTGTGACGGGCGAATGTAAGCCAATCGTGATGACGAGATGGGACATGGATGGATTGGAAACAACCGTGGAAGGGTACCAGGAGGCGTACAGCGACAACAGGTTAGAGTAGCGAAGTGTTGGTATGGGATGATCCAGTGTGTGAGAGTGGATACGGCAGATGTGTAGGTATCATCATACCGGACGAAGACCGCCTCAAGGAGCTCATGGATGCCGGTCAAGGCCTGGAGTCCCGCTGCGGGTTCGATCCTAGCAGTCCTGTCGGCCCTCGCTTCGCACTGGTAAGTGTCTGCTGCAGTTTCAATGGCATCCTACCGTTGGAGATGCCTGCTCATTGCACGTCACTGACCGGCCTGTGTCTATCAGGTGCTGAACTCAGACAAGACGGGAAAGGAGCTCCAGGATTACCTGGGTTGCTCAGGGCGGGAGACAGATCCTGTGACAGGTTTCTCCTTCCAGGTATGAGAATTTCTTTGTTCGTCTCCCGCGCTCCGAGTGCTGAAAGACAGACTCCAGGTTGGACTCCCTGTCGACTGCATTACCTACAAGGAGCTGTGCGAGAGGGCAGATGGCATGTAGACTCCTTGGGCTGAGGATCCGTGAGTACACCTCGAGTCGAATTGTCAATCTGAGCATCGGCATACCGCCCCGACAATCGACAGAATTTTTAATCTAAACACAGGGAGAGGGAAGTTCTAGTCCAGCGCCTTCTTGAACGCCTCGCTCCACTCCTGACGGGATGGAGTGAAGACCCTCCTCTCGCGGTTCTTCATGGCGGGGGGAAGCTGGAGGAAATTGTTCTCGCTGCATCCAACGCCATCCTCGCGGAAGGTCTTGCAGCTGACGAGGCTCAAGATCTTGTTGGCAGTGTCAGCCCGGGTGAGGCACTGAACCAAACATTGCGCCACCACATCGCGACCCGTGTCAGCGGAGTTCTGATCCCTCCGCTTTAGGCTGATGCCACGAGCCTCCTCAGCATCAAAGATGCGATCGTTCAGTGCCTGCTCGAAGTCCTTGTTGGTGTCGTAGAAAGGGCCTCCCTTGAGGTTTCCCACTCGCAAGATCGTGTAGTCGAAGTTGTAAATCTCTGCACACTCCTTGAGCGTCTGCTCCAGGGCTGCCCACTTGTCAAGTTGTAAGAAGGGGTTGAGCTTCAGCTTCCAGTCGTTCTCACGCTCGTCCACTCCAATCTTCGAGAGCAAGATGAAGCGCTTGAAAGGAATTCCCAGCGCCAGCACGTTCTTCATGGTCTCAGGATCGGTGGGTTTCTCAACGCAGAGCACGGCAGCAGAGACGTTGGCTGGGATCTCCTCGAAGTAAACCTCAGCCTCGGGAGGAAAAATCTCCTGTTCCCCATCTGTCTTGTACAGAACCTTCTCCTCGTAGTTCTTGGAAGTCTGGATGACTGGAGTGTACCTGCCATCCTTGGCCATGTGGCGGACAAGAAGCTGACCCAGCCGATCGAGAGCCCCGAAGACAACGACCTTGGTTCCTGTGGGTACGGCTGCCTTGTTCTGCTGCTGCAGCGCGAGCAGCAACATCATCTCCTCGCTAAGCTCTGCACTTGCTTGGGAAGTCGGAGAATCGTTGAGCTGGGCCCTGAGCTGCAGTGTGCTTGTTCGAGGCGCTCGGAGGTTTGTCCTCGAGGCCAGGGGCTTCTGCCCAGCCCTGAAAAGACCAATTTGAAACGATTGCGGCGAGAAAGCATGAGATGCACTGAGTGATAAGAGAAGGCACGCCCTGGACACTAAAATCACTCCCGGATAGATCAATCAGCAGTGCACTCGACTCAACGTACCAGGTGGAAAGGGAACTCATCTTCATGGTCTCAAGCTGCCTGCATCCCAAAATGGTCAACAGAGAGAAGATGGGACTGAGCCATCCAAAAATAGGTGCGCATCGTGCCCAGATGTGTTTTCGTGCCTATCCTTCGTTTCTCCGATCATAAATAACTATCTGAGTTATCAAACTTGCTGAACGAGTCATGCTCGTCCTTCAAAACATCCTTCCTTTTCTCTTCTCTTCTCACTTCTCTTCTTGTTTCTTCGCCTCACATCCCTTCTGTCCCCTCTTCTGTTTGACATGTATACGCCATTAGAACGCCTTGTACCTACTACCCTACCCCTAGGGAGCTCCTGTGCCCCATCGATGACCCCACCCCTATCTACTCCTCATCTATAAAAATGTACCCTACCTAGAGACTCATTACCCACCCCTACCCACTTCAGCACGAAAAGTTACTAGTATTGAGACCACCCATGCTTGATCTGAAGCAAGGGGGTAGAGAGGTTGTCGAGAAATAACCTTAATTTAATTATAAAATATTATAAATTATTAAATTAACACTAATTCGATCTTGCGAAATGGAAAGAGCAGTTCCCCGATGAATGCCGCACCGCCTCCTCCTCCTTCTCCTCCTCCTCCCTGCTCTCCTCTGCTCCGACTACCTTCCTCCTCCTTCCAACACTACACTTGATGGTTCCCCTTCTCCTCCACCATCCTTCTCCTCCTTCCCATCCTCCTTTGCCTTCTCTACCAAGAGTGCACAAGGGAGCATACCAGGCCCGCATCATGATGCAGTCGAACGCGAGTCGAGACGGGCAGATGAGCTGGAGCTTCCTCGAGAAGCGTCTCTCATCAACATCATACCAGCCTTCGAGCCGGGATGGAGGCAGCACGAGGATGCAATCGGCAAGCTCGTAAACATCTCGAAGCAGAGGCTACACAGCAGGAACTTGGGGGTCTTGCGGGAGGCCCTGTCAGCCATCAGAGCCGGAAGGAGGAAGAGAGCAGCCTCTCAGTTGTCGAGGTATAACTGGGATGACGCAGACTTGCTATGCTTGCGCATGTACTTCAAGATACTCTCCCGAGTGTTCAAGGAGGGCACCAGGGAAGCGGGGGTGTGTGCCGTGACCGTTTCAAGGCTGACAGCAGGCAACAAGTCGCACCTAGATCCTCACAGGACAGACATCAAGAGATGGAAGGAGCAGCAGGTCTTCTTGGATCGCCACGATGCCTCTGGTGAGGAGGCAGTGAGGTCCTACAGCAAACTCCACCATGATTTCGTAGCTGCCGCCATGGAAGTTGGAAGTCGGGTCGACCGAGCGCACCTTGACGAGTCGCGTTTTCTCGTCTGCCAGCCGACGTTCGGTCTGGGGAACCGGATGAACGCGATGATGATGTGCATGACGTTGGCGATGATGACGGGGCGAGTGTTGCTCCTGCACTGGAACTGCCTGTCCTGCCATGATGAGTTGGCATATCCCCTTCAGCCCAGTGATGTCTTGTTGAGAAGCTTCGTGGACTGGAATATCGATCTCCTCCTTCTGCTGTTCGACGATCGAGAGATCTCTGCGATGAGCAGGGTCGTGGTAGAGCCCGGAGTGAGCGACGGGGCGGTGGGAGGACAGGAGTTGTCGTTGCAGGACATCTTTACTAAGATGAACATCGACGACGTTTGGCCCGAGCGGGTGCTGGTGCTCAACGTCTACCGTTTCTACCCCTCCATCTTCGACAACCCCCATGTACTTCCTGTCGCTCTGCCCTCTCACGTGTGCTGTCCAACTTTTTTGTCCCCGGCCACTTTTATATTTCAACCTCCCTCCAAGCCTTCAGTCACACCTGCTGCGTTTGAAGTCTTCTCCTCCCTGTCTTTCTGTTCTCACTGACGATCTTCTCCCCCCTGTCTTTCTGTTCTCACTGACGATCTTCTCCTCCCTGTCTTTCTGTTCTCACTGACGATCTTCTCCTCCCTGTCTTTCTGTTCTCACTGACGATCCTCCAGTACAAGTCTCTCTTTCAACGCCCAGCTGCAGCAGGGGAAGCAGCCCCAACAACTTCGTTCTCTCTCCCTCCCCCGCCAGCATGGTACGCGCGCATGGGTCTGAGGCTCTTCGGCAGCCCTCCAGCATGGACGAGGAAGACGCTGGAGCAGGCGAGTCGGTTAGTGAGCTTGCTCGACATGTCAGGAAGAGTCGTCGGGCTTCAGATGCGACGGCATCTCCCTGTCTCCTACGAGGGAGTGCGGAGAGACCGGGAGAGCGCCGAGCAGTTCGTGACTTGTGCGCTCAGTTTCGCACCCGGCGATGCGAACTTGTGGGTGTTGGTGACAGACAGCGTTGAAGGTTGTGC